CAACATCCTTCTCTAAATTTTACCCTCGGGTGGCTCACCAAAGGGTGGGTCAACTTGGAAGAGCAACATCCTTCTCTAAATTTTACCCCTGCCCACAAAAGGGTGACTCAAGTTGAAATGGCAACATCCTTCTCTAAATGTGAAGGCATGAGTGGCTAAGTCAGCAAAGAAAGAAGTAAGTAAGTGGCCAGGTTAATGAATGAATGAGTGAAAGAAAGAATGAATGAATGAATGAATGCATGAAAGAAGGAGTGAGTGAGTCAGTGAGTGAGTCAGTGAGTGAGTCAGTGCGTGAGTGAGTGAATGAGGGAGTGAGTGAGAGAGTGAGTGAGTGTGAGTGAGTGAGAGTGAGAGTGAGTTTGAGGCAGCACATCCGCGTGTACAGATGAGGCATCTCACGCGCGTGTACAGACGAGTCACCTTGCGCGTGTACAGACGAGGCGCTGACCCTTTTGGCCTCCCAAAGGATCAGAAAGGACCCTCATAGCGAAACATTGCCGATATGGATCCATATGATTAGTACAGCGAAGGTGTTAGTACCTCCCCAAGAACCGCCTAGCCAGAGCCAACCGCCCCCGCCTGATCGAAGAAGGTGAAGCGCCGTTCCGGCACCACGCCGCTGGTCACCAACGAGACCGCCCGAGCCGCGCCCGTCGAGGAGGAACCCCTGGCGGAGGCAGCGTCAAGTCTGACGCGGCCACCGGCGGTTTCTTGTTGGAAGAAGGGGGTTTGGTGTAACCGATGTCAAGCTGACTGTAGCATACTTATACCATCCAAAGGTGGTCTTATAGCATGTCAGCATGTCTCAGCTAATGCTGTTTTGTTGCGCGAGTCGGGTGCCATTTTCTATGGTGGAAACCTACGCACTGGAGGTCGTTTGTAGTACCCGTAAGGCACCCCTATCACCGCCACATATAGGACACCGTCTCCTGGATATGTTGGATCCTGATTTGTAAGAGGATCCTCTATAATGCTAAATTGTCCAAATATATTTCTGGACACCATGCTTTTAGGGGTCCTCTAATAATAAGATGCTATTCATTTTTGAGCTCCTAATCTTGTTCTTATCTGAAAAGTAATTAGGGCTTCAAATCCTTCGGAGAAGTGTGAATACTAAGTCAATGACTGGCCTGCTGAGATTATTGATAAGTATATAGGTTTCTCTAGCTCTTCTTCAAACCCATTCTTCGGAATGCCGGGCGATTCCTTCAAAGGCCTATGTCTGGAAACGGACCCGCATGACACGAACCAAACCGGACACGACATGACCCATCATGACTCATCATGACCCTATAATACCCTTATGCATAGACCTAGAACCTCGTTAGGCAATAATGTCCGCCCAACGCCATTTAGGCAGAAAATTCAGCCCGTTTTTGCAAAGAACACCTAAGCTGCAGCCTCGAGGGTCAAAAACGCCGAGGCACAATCACATGTATTCTTACATGCCGGAGGCAGAGCCAGAAATTGAATGAACAAACATTGAGAAAGCAAACACTTGCCACTTGACGCAAATCCCCAGTCTAACGTTATTGAAACTCATGCCGCTCACTCCCCCCAAAAGGTTACCATTCTGTTGTCCACCCAACTGTTAATTGTAGTGAGGGGGGAACGGGCAAGAACGCCCAAGTAACGGGTAAGAACGCCTAAAGTGACAGGAAGAACACCTACGCAAAAAGATATATTAAAGTGCGAGTGGATCTTAATCAGCGAAGTTTGAAGCTATCACTGACGGTCCATAAGCGGCGTAGCGTCGGAACGGAAACCGCACCTTTTCTAGTCGCTTGATCCTTGAGCCAAAGTACATATGGTACATATATATGTACAAGTTGCACTGTACGTGTCGCTGCACTTCCATTCGCACCCCCCATGTGAACGGCAACAATATGTTCCGATCACACACGAAAATTTAGGGATGTAAGTGCTATAAAGAAATTGTATGATTTGCCGCGAGACTCATATGAGGCTCATACTACAAAACATGCTGGACTAAAGCGGACTTTTACATATAAAGTGTGCAACTATGGCTCAGAACCTTTGAAAAATCGAATTGAACAAGTGAGACAGTCACGAGGCCTCGCTCAGTATCCACTCAAAAGAGCATCGCTTTGATGTAGATCCGACCTGGTGACTTCCACGTAGATGTCACATCGGCAACTGACTTCACACTTCTCAAAAGATGTAGGTTCTGGTTTGGATACACTTACAGAACGGCAAGTCGGAGAGACAGTCGGTGATTGTCTTCCTTCTATTATGCTCATGGTATCAAATCAGATTGATGATTTGCAATGATACACTTACAGCGTTTCAGGTCAGATAAACATCCGGTGAATGATTTCCTCCCTGGTTTGCATGGTATCCTCATAGTCGTTCAAAGAAATCACCACTGGTGATAACCTCTCCATCCACGATGATCCCAGCTGCCCTGAGCATCCCACCGATCATCTTCTCCCTTCTTGGACTTTCCCTTGGACTTGCTCTTTCCCTTCCCCTTTTCAGAAGGTTGAGGTACTTCGCGACGTTCTTGCGTTAGCGCCGGCCTCCAAGATGTTCCAGATTGGCCTCCTCCTTTGGAATGTCCTCGGGATGATGAAGAAGTTGTACCTTCTGCTGCATGTGCATTGGCGGCAAGATCTTCCTGCAAAGCTTGCTCAAACACACCGGTAGCACTGGATGGTGATTTATCATGTGGTCTGGCTTTTGGAGCAGCCTTCGCCTTGTTCTCCTCTGCTGATGAGGGCCCGAAACTCTTAGGTGCTGTTGAAGGTTTTGGCTCCTCACTTGGTGCTGACGACGGCTTGGCCTCGGTTCTGGGTGTAGATGCTGGCTTTGCCTCAGCTCTTGACGAAGATGCTGCTTTCGCTTCAGACTTAGTCGTTAATGTTGACTTATCTGTTGCCTTGGCTGCCTGCTTCTTCTTGCCCTGAATCTCCTTGGCCCTATCTCCAAAGCCTAGACGATTGGTAAGAGCTTGAACATGCTTATGTTCTACCACGCTCATCCATCTCTCTGTATGTCCAACGTTGGGGTTTCTGGCCATTGACTCTATGACTTCCTGAGCTTGTGGGGGCAACCTGATTTCATGTTGATCAATGATCAACAGAATAGACTTCTCCCACTTGCTCTTCATTCTCGAGTACATGATGTCCAGAGGATCGATCACCTTGTGGTAGGGTGATGTAATGTCGGTTCTAAAGTAAGAATATGTCCGACACCCATAAATCGCATGGATGCACTTCTGTACCAATTCAGTCATTGCGCTGGCTTTCTTCGCTTTCAACTCCTCAAGCTGGGCATCAGTCAAGTTGGTGGAGTATTCGAAGTTGCCATATTCCTCCTTGAAGGATTGCGGAGTATGACCAAATGATAGGATCACGAGTGCCACCTTGCAAATGAATTGCTCTCCTCTGAATCGGTGCCAGGCCTCCTCAGTTGTAATATTGTTGTTGCTGGCGAAGATTAACATCATGTTATCTGTTGGATCCAATGGTCTCCCATCGTCATCGATTTCAGTGGAATCCCCTGTACCGAACTTGCTTATCACATCCAGGCGCTTCCTTTTCCAATTTGCTTTGAAGTCGGTAAGGCTGGTGCAATAGTAGCTCTTGTACATCAGGGAGATCATGTTCAGCACACATTTGACCACATACCTATCCATCAAACCCGATGCATTCATGGAGACGTCCTGACAGTAGGCTCTCTCTTGATGCGCATAGATTCGAGGTTCCGGTACTCGACAATAGATGGGGAGATCTTCGTTGTCTCTTCCTTCTTCGGGATTGAACTCGGTCGCTCCATGCTGTGCATAGTATCCCGGTTCATCACGATCTGTCGGTCGATTCGCCTCCGGATGTAAGTCGTCGGTGACGTCTTCATCCTCGGGCTCACCATCTTGACGTTTCTTCCCCTCATATTGTTGTGTGCTCCTCTGGATCTCGATGATCACGTTTCGTTCGTCTTCATCTTCTAGATCAGAATCACGACCGTAGTCGATCTCGTCCTCATTGAAAGATGGGGTCTCGACATTGTCACTCTTGAAGTTTTCTGCACCATCAGACGGTTTGGAAGGATCTGGATTATCCATGTCCTCGTCGTCATCAGCTGCTTCAGTTTGAGCGATGTCTTCTTCCCAAGCCTTTCTGATCTCGTCCATAGTGGCCTGGTCCAATATATCTTGATCATCATCTTCAGGCTCCTTCTCTTCCTTCTTTTCCTCTTCATCGTCGCTCACAAGATCAACGGGTGAATCGGAAATGACAGTGTTGCGAATACCACACGAGAGTAGCCTGCCTTGACAAGATAGACACACGGACAAAGATGAAGAAGTCAAATGCATACATGATGGACACAAAATATTGCCATCCACGTTGCGATACCCTTCACATGTTCTGGAGATGATTTCGTCCCAAGTTTCCTCACTGATGGAATCCTCGATCAGCTCTCCATTGTCATCGAATCGTACTTCATCGATAAGGGACACGAGCTTTTGGACGTTGTCATCTGTCGCCGAGGCTGACTTCGTGACTTCGTCGGCTCTCTCGAGGATGGTATGCTTCTGAGCAACCCAAAGTCCATGACGTGCCGCTAGAACAACTTGCTCTCCAGTGCTTCCCAGCAGGAGTCTCCTCCATGCCTGAACGTGGTCGTCCCAATACCAAGCACCTCGTACACATCTCCATGGAACTTCTCTAAAAACAACAGTGTAGGAATTCTCCGAAATTCTTCCCCCAAGCTTCCTCAAAGTCATGATTGGAACATAAAGGCAAACGGGCATTCCCACTCTTGGCCATCTTGATCTCAGAATCTTTGATGATCGATCATCCCACGGCGCAAAGTGGTTGAAGAAAACACTACCTCTATATCCATCCGTTCCACCAGGGACAATTCCTAGTTTCATGATTGACTCAATATTGGAAAGCGATGTCATGTGAAAGCTTCCTCCAAGCTGCATTGCCACATTCTCTGGAATGAGATGTGAAGTCCACACAGGATATATTGACACATCCTCTTCAAGAACAGTCTCTCTTCCAGAATTGTGAGAGGCAACAGCTCGAATTGCACAAGGAGCGATCCAACGTTCTTGCTTCAGAAATGACGGTGCGTCTGTGCCGTAAAACATGAGGTTTGCCCAGTATTGCCTTTCCTCTTCGAGTGAGACATCCTCCTTTGAGATGCGAATGGCGGCAATCTGATAGCGTACTCTGTTCTGCAACTTCTTCGCATGCCACATCGCCTTGCATAAATACTGGTATCGCTCTGTCTTGGTATCTTGCTCACGTTGAGTACCTGAGATAGTACTGATATTGACACCATCGTTGAAGACATGATCATATTCCAGGATCTCATCGATGTTCACCCATCCACCCTCATTGCACTTCGGGGACACATGAGGTTTTCGACCGCGGTGCGATTGAATCCCATTACGCTTTCCCACTCCATGCCTGAGTAGTCTATTGAGTCTATGGCTAATCTCGTTGACCCACTGACTCTCCTCGCTGAACTTGTCGATGCGAATTGCTGGGTTCATCTTTGGTGGATCCGTGAAAGTTGCATCTCTCTTCGGTCCATTCCAGTACTCCACATAGAATGTAACTCCATATTGTGGAATTATCTCGATGTTTCCTCTATCGCAAGCCACCTCAATCTGCCGATATCCAACCTTTTGAA